CTCTCTCTCTCTCTCTCTCTCTCTCTCTCTCACACACACACACACACACGCGCGCGCGCGCGCGCGCACATACACACTACTCACGTTATATCACGCACGCAAGAGCATCTAATACATTATTCTTTAACATTTGACGTTCAGTTGGCTTACTTCACCGCTCGATTACTTTTCTGTGTATACGTTGAGTAATACGAAGAATGAAGGAGTGGGATAAAACTTAGTGATGCTGGATAATGAAGTGTCGATGTCGATTGCCAAGTATAGATGGGGTAGTGGTCGAGGGTCGTAGATTAGGTACTAGGGGTCGTAGGATGAACCATGATCGATAGAGGACGAGAAGGTGTCCTTTAAGGTGTCAACTATAATTCCTCAGAGAGTTGATCGTCGCAGTTGCGATTATTAGAGTACAGGGCCGATGACGACGATGAGGTCGCGCAATGAAACAAGGTAGAGCCATCGTGGTGGTGGCCACGATAGGTGTCGCATCACGACGAGCACGCCATCCAGGATGAGTTGCAAGTGCACGTGTAGCACGCGGTAGGTATCACGGGTGTGTAGTAGTAGCCGTTGGCGTATACGTAGGTGGTTGGAGGTGGGCCTGATGGAGCCTGATGATTCGTCAGCCGTTGCTGCTGCTCCTGACAGAGGACTTGATAGGCGAGGTTCTCGATGAGGGCCAAGGTCTGTCGTCGCTCGTGGCCCATCAGGCAGACCGTCGACTCCTCGACGACGCTGTGCAGGAGCATCAGGTACTGATACTTTAGCGCCTCCTCCTCGGGACCGACAAAATGATTCCACAGGTAGTTCTCGAGCTTTGCGCGCTGCTGCCCTATGTCCGGAAAGTCTATGAAGAATCTCGAGCACATGTATCGCTCCAGGGTTTTTATGTAGTCCGGCTGGGACGGTTTATACATCTTTACCAGGAGATTGCAGTACTTCAGGAGTCCGCCGCCCCGAATCTCCTCGGGATGCCTCGTGCTGATGAGCTTCTTGTGGAGATGATAGAGAGCCTCCTGAAAGTCACCGTACACCGACTCGCCGACGACGGTCGGATAAAAGTTCTCGCCGATGGGCAGTTTGCTGCACTCGTAGAAGAGCAAGAGAGAGTCAAGGACGATCTGGAAGGAGTCGACGGAGAACTCGAATTGTCTTCTCATCGTGTCGACGAACTTGAGCTCGACGTTCCGATGACCCCGGGAGTTACCCAAGGAGATGAGGGACCAGCGATCTCCGTCGTTGTTCACTTTCACCATCTTGCTCACGTAGGCCTCCTTGAGGCTGCAGGTGGTGATGCGCTTGCGACTCACGCCCTCTGGCAACAGGTCGAAGAGCGACCCAAGCACTGCGGCCTTCACTTTGTCGTAGTTTCGGCCACTCGACAGCTCCACCGCGAAGATCAGGTCCAGGTCGTTGTACGGCTGGGACTCGGTCGCGAGTACGTGAGACGCGGCGCCCCCGTTAAGGCGAATGTCGCGCACCTTCATCCCCGCTCCCCCGCTGCTCGGCTCGGCCTCCAGTTTGCTGCGCACTACGGTCACGAGATCACGCAGCCGAACCTCCAGAGTGGGAAAATTCCCTCTTCCGTGGATGCTCACTACCTCGTTCATCACATCGTTCAGACGACGAACTTGCTCGAAGCTCAGCACCGCGAGACGCTGCTGCGGATCCTGGCACTCGGGGTTGTTGTTACCGCTTCCTACAACGACGCCGCCGCCGCCGCCGCCGCCGCCGCCGTCGCCATCCCCACCGCCGCCCACGCTTCCGATACCTCCATTGATCCCATTACTGCTGCTGCTGCTGCTGTTGTTGTTGTTGTTGTTGCTACTGCTTTTATTACTCCCGCTTGTGTTATTGTTGTTAGCACTGTTGTTGTTGTTATTCAGCTGACAGAGGGACTCCATCATAGTGACCCGACGTTGGCGTTCCTCGCCAATCTCCAGGGAGCCACACTGTAACACACAATCACCAACGACAACCTTATTAGAATGCACCGAATAGGAATCAATCGCGAAATTACACTCGGAAAACACATTCACCAAAATTTATCTAATTTTTCCAAATTTTCTTGCATATAAGCATTACGTATGTATCAACAAGTATCAATAAATCTCTCAACGTAACTAGGTACCTTGTGCTCCGTTCACAGAGAGCCACTCTCTTCTCACTATGTAACTTCGCCTCTATTAAATAACCGTTTAAAACGTAGCTGTCTGGGAGCTTGGTACTTGCGCAATCCGACAAACTATGTAAATAACTTTCACTTATGAAATCATCTCGCGAGGGAGATCAAACGCGAACAAGGCGCACGAAGTTTTCGTGACAATCCGAAAAGAGAGAAGGAAATCTCGAGAAGCAAGTATTAAATTCACAGCCCGCTCGACTGTCAAGACTGTCAAGACTGTCAATCTTGACAGAAATCGTCGCGCGCAGTGACAGGCAGATTACCTGGCAGTACGAAGAGCACACTGAAATACCGTTATACACGTCGTCACGACCAAACAATCGAACACCCAACCACAAAGTTTCTCTCAGCTATGTATCTCGGAATATATTCCTTTCGTATTTCACTCCCGTAGCTGCGACGCGTTGCGACGTGTCGTGGACGCGAGGCAACGGTGAACTGAGCTCGATGAGTGAAAGGCGCCTAGGCCAACAGCTGCGCCACCACACTCGACGGAAGGCGCACACAAAGGCACCGATCTCCAACCATCCAAGATATATAGGTATCCATCGTGCAGTCGTGCATGTGCTCGAACGCTCCAGCACTTTCTATGACGTCATCGCTCTACCAGTACCTTAGCGGGGGCGTTTGAATGAACGCGGAGGCGTAGGGTGAATGCGGAGGCGGTAGGTAAAGGCCGAGCATGCGCACTGATCGTCAGCCACTTGTTATGTTTCCACAGAGGATCAACGATATATCATATACTATCTTCCTCTTTCCCACCCTCTAAATCCCATCTATACAATTTACTCTGGAGCCCATCTCCTATATATACGCCTACGACCTATCTACGTTCAACAGTCTTTACCATACTCCTGTACTTCCTTATTGTTCAATATTCGAATGTATCTTTAATATCGCTAAAAGCCACAAGAACCTGTCATTCAACTTCTTTTATTTAACACACACTGATCACTGCTGATTATCGACTAATTTTGTCTTATATACTTCCACGCCTATGTACAGGGGCTAAACGAGATAAAGTATTGGTGTTATCGAAGGAGGGGTTTCGTTTTTTGGCATTTATGACCTTTTTTTTCTAATCACGCTCTCCTCTTATATATATATATACATATATAGGCTGTGAATTATAATTGCATTTTGGAACTATCATAACGTCAATGACCTTATTTCTGCTTGACATCCCGATGAAATGGTGCTTTCGCGTAACGAAGAACAATTCGAGGAGGTAAAAATTTGGTACCAGTAACATTCCAAGCTACGATCGTCTGTCATTTCCAAGTACTTGGACTGTTACGTCATTCGCGAGAGCATGCGAAAGGAAAAAAAAAAAGTGTCGGAGAGACAATAAGAGCGCGGAAGCAGAGCGAATCTCTGTGCGAGATTCAGTGAATAAAAATGCTCTATAGGTGACACTATACGCCGATTGATTGTACACTTGGCTATAGATGGTAGCGCAAGGTCATCGGTAAATGATTAATGACACATCGACTTGCTAAAAAATGTAATAGGGGCTGCTCGTCGCAGATGCACCACAGTGTATCTACGTCGTAATTCGACGACCTACATACACGGCTCACACTATCCGGGAAAGTGAATCCTCGAGGTCGTTCAGCATTTATTATCTCAGGTTCGATCCGTAGCTCCCACATACTGACATTAGAATAGAATCGGGTACATATGGTTGTACCGACTATAAGAAGACCTCTAGATACCCTAACCCATAAGACAATAATGTAATCCAGTGTTCCCTGAGAAGTAGCAAACTTATTCAAAGCCTCGCGAAGTTCTCGTTTCCGTGAAGGATCCAGGGTCGACGTCGCGACGACAAAGGACGGGCACATGAAATATATTCAACGACCCAGTGGAAAAGGGAAGGAAGGTAAGAAGGCCTGCTCCCAGGCAACCGTCTTCCGTCGCCATGACGACTACGTCCTTAGAACCCAAGAGACGGCAGAGCCTGAACGAAAATACACAAAGTGCCGGCGAGATAATTCTGCAGCGATCAGGATGATGTCGCGAAACTTGCCTCCTCTGTGTCTACGTATCTTGGGATCAGCTGACTGGAGGGTGAAGAAACTTGAACGGTCCTGTACGTACAGGCTCATTCATAGCGAACGAAAGCGAACCGTCGCCCAAGAATAATGAGGTCGCGCCACGCATTCCACAATGCGGCACGAGTGTGCCCAGTGAAAACGAAATGAATATTCGGCGTTCGCAACGCAGTGGCTCTTCGAAAAAGGAGGTCATCGCCTTACGGGAAAAAGTTCTGTACGACGTAGATGTCCCAGTTTACTGGGTGGGTCGTTGCACCCGGGTACCGTGACTGCGCCGAGAGATAGGTGACCTGGCGGGTTCGGTCAGGTAGTCCGGTAGTCTATATGCGCATTTGCCGATTTTACAAAGTTTGCGCCCTGACTTGCGTCATCCTGAGCTGAACGTGACTGAGTCACTTTTTTTTTTTCATTGTCTCTTCGCTTTAGCGAACAATCCAGTCACGAGGTTAGGATCGCCCATCGCAGTCATTATGTAACGCTGTGTGATCGGAGAACTTGCATTTATATATTTATTGCACGTGCGTGATGTAGTTGCGTTGAGCTTTAAGGGACAGGATCGGGGTACGGGTCGCAAGTAGCCACAAAGATAAGGAAGAGATAGGACCGATAAAACTAGATACGAAACTGGACCGATGTAACGTACAGCACGTACGGCAATATGGGTCGACGGTCACGACGTTTCCGTCGCTGAAAAAGCATCATTCACGTCACCGATCGTTGATCTTGATCGAGGCTAGAGACGCAATTACACGAATGGGTATGTCGATGAGGATCCCTCTGGCGGCATTTCTGAGCACGCTACCTTCGAAAGGAGAGTTTTCAAGCATACGGGTGAGCGAGGTGGGTGCGTGGACGCAACCGACGTCTGTAGCGACGGCGCGTCGGAATCGCGTTCGGGAGTCTCTGACGTCAGTGGTCATTGATCCTGGCTGAGCTCGACTACGTCAACCGAACGTGAAATCCTGCTCCACATCCCGCATCGTCTAGGCATCGTCAAGATTCCACGTAACTAAGTGTACATCCGAGCGTGTAGCCAGCGGCGCCATCGGGTCCGCCTTATTAAAATAATTCGCATAATCCGTTCTAATAATAGATCGGGTCTCGTTTCTTTTTTCTCTTTCTCTCTCTCTCCCGTACGTCTATCACTTCGAAGAACTCGTAGGACAACCAAAACGTGTTTTCGTCAAAGATTTAACATATCTATTGAATAGCAAGCGCGTGTGTTGATCGCCTGAGACGTTGTCGGTAGGAAAAACCGGAAATACTCAAATCAAATAGTATAATCAGCGTCGTTGACGCGCCATAGAAATTCGAGGCTAACGTCCGCTATCGTATTCCCACCAAAGACACAATAACAACACGTAACTCCAATCTCTCCGATACGCTCACTCTTTTGTTTTATTCGCACTACTTGTGTCACGGTCTATTGTCGTCGCAACACAGTGGTCGTTATGATTGGGCTTTACGTTTCCGCTGACACGAGTCATATCCCCACCCTACTTCCTTCAATAATCCCCCTCCCCATCCCACCCTCACCCCGGATGCCTCATGGCGACTCAGTGCCGTAACAAAGTGACTTGTAATTACCCTGGATTCCGAGGGTTAATAAGCTGGAGGTATTAACCCTATACACGTGATATTCAAGAAACATATGCCAATCCCTGGACACTCTGGTAGGTAGACGTGGTACTGAGAGGTAGGGAAAACGAGTGCTGAGCCGTGGGGGGAGGCAAGAGAGACAGAGGGGGTAAAGGAAGAACGTAATAGAGATAGCTAGAAAGATAGAGGAAGAGAGAACGAACATTGAGAAACCCTAAAGGCGCTTCGCTCTACAGGAAACGCTTCGACCTTGCCGAGGTGAACCCTTGCGGGCTTTCGCCGTCCGCCTCCACGAACGTAAATCAGCTACGACGTTTCCAATGAGGATCGAAAGAAACCGAAAAAAAAGAGCGTCGTCAGGCTGACGCGGTTGTCTTAAATCCTCATGGCTCTTCCTTAGACTTCGAGAGCTCTCGTATGTGTCGTTCTGTAGGTTACAAGTGTATTCTTTATAGTCGGTGTCTTTTTAGACTCGTTCACGCTTGGCTAGTATCGCTTTTTGTTCGATTCTCCAGTTTCCGCCGTATTCATAGCTCACAAAATGTATTGAAAATAGCTCTTCTTCCGAGGGGATCTACACACTCGTGCTGTCAATGTTTGTTTTCTCCTGTCCCGCCTCTTCCTTCGTATATCAGCTGTGGAAGTGGGGAGCCTAATGCGCGTCCGTGCGAAAACGACCGCAGCGCCGCGGCGACCGGACGGAAAGAAAAAAAAACGTAATTTTGCAGGGACAACGGTCTAAGCGAACTCACGATGAGATTGCTCGATTTTTTTTAGCATTGACAACAATTTACTTGCCGCGTAAAGCACCACGTGATCACTTTTGCCATTTTACGTATAGGTAGCGATACGTTCATACGTAACCAACGTAATTTCGTATACTTGTCAAACGCAATTTGTAGAATTTAACCTCGTCGCTGTATAGATGCCTACACAGGGGATACGGCAGGTGGCAGAGAACGAATGTCCGGTATTTATAACGGAAATAAAAAAAAAAAAAATACTTTTCACTAATATCTTCCGGAGTAAATTTTGCATTTCCGGAAATATTGAAAACACGCGTGTACAATTATGTCGGAGTAGCGCATCAATTCGAAAGTCATTACTAATTGCGACATGAATATTTTCATTTTACAAAAATATATCATAGATAAATTCATATCGCAATGTTTGTACTGAATGAAGATTTTTAAAAAGTCATATATACCACCGACGTCAATGTACACGTATATTTTATCGCCAATGATATATGTGTCACATCCGGAACGAGCGCACCAAGAAAAATTGTCATTGTCGTGCGCGCGATTGGCTCGAAACTAGGCGAATCGAGATTAGCGGTAACGGTCTTGGGTCCATTCGAAATCGCACAAACAAGCAGCAATACAGATAATAGATATACTCCTCCGTAGTGAAAAGTCGCTGTGACGTTACCGAAAGAGGCCTCGCTCGCTCTCCGATGGACAGTCAAAGGTCACCGCAAGAAATTGACCGACAAGTCAGCCACACGTGCAGCAACAAACAATGAAACAAAAGATTTGCACGAAAAACAATTGCAACTGACTGGTTGCCAGTCGGTAGTGAAAAGTTCAGTTCCTATATCCGAAATCCGCGATTGGTCCGTGATCCTTTTTTTTTTTTTTTTTTTTTTTTTTTTTTTTAACAAACTGCTTTATACGGCTACGGAACCAATGTAACAGAGTCTTTGGATGATCGGTGTGTCACGTATACACGAAACGAAACCATTCAAGTAAAAGACTAGTCTTGTCGACCAGAAGCTTCCGCAAAGCTTTTATATATTTTTTTTTCCCGTATAAGAAAAAAAAGGCAACGATCACCATTCTCCGAGCTGATAATTCGCGTGTGTTTATTAGATGCAAAATGTGCAATGTAGCATCGTCAGTGAGAGATTGCGATGACCCTGACCTTGAATCTTTTGCATCATGACATTTAATGAAACATATCCTTTGACATCCCTAAGAAACGGTGACCATCGATTTAAGGATCGATACGAGTTTATTACTATTGACTTCCAACCAATTATCGAGACCAATAGGCAGGATAACGAGTGAAACAAAAAATAGAAAAATGCAAAAGGCACCAGAACTACATGTCGCCTTATCAGTGCTTTGACCACCCAACTTTTCAATTATGCAGGTCCCTGGCGTCACGCGCGAATACTTTTTATTTACGAGTTGCATGAATATCCCAAGACTGAAGAGGCGAAGGAAAATAATAACGCGGTGAAAAAAAGAGAGAGACTAGATAAATTAAATAAAGATACGGACAAAAAGAGTCGATAAATTAAAAAAAAAAAAAAAAAAAACATAGCAATCAACCATTTAGATAAAGGTGAAAAAGAATTTTCAGAGGATGGACCAGACACGAGAGGTTATACTTTTAAAGACAGATATAACAGGGCC